ATATATATATTATATATATATATATATATAATATATATATATATAATATATATGTGTGTGTGTGTGTGTGTGTGTGTGTTGTGTGTGTGTGTGTGTGTGTGTGTGTGTGTGGTGTGTGTGTGTGTGTGTGTGTGTGTGTGTGTGTGTGTGTGTGTGTGTGTGTGTCTGTGGGTGTGAGTGTATCTATGCATGTATTTACGTGCATCTCTGTGCCGAAACAAAAATACACACTAGGCATACGTGCAAGAGAACCGGAAATGGAATACGCCGCCCCCGCAACTCCAAAAGAGGAAGAGAGAACAAAAGCCGAAAGCGAAGAGACGCAGCGAATGAAGTCACGAGGTCGATCGTTACGGGTCGAGCGGCGCCAAGGAGGTCGGGGGAATTAGCGCCAAAAAGCTAGTTTTCCTGAGAGAGCAGAAGAGTGTGGAAGGAAGGGGGGAGGGAGACGAGAAATTTTGGTTGAGAAGGAAGGGGCGAGGAGACGAAATTTGGAGGAGGAAGGAGGGGCGAGGGAACGGGAAATTTGGTTGGAGGAAGGATATCTTGGTTGGAGGAAGGAAGGGGCGAGGGAGACGGGAAATCTTGGTAGGAGGAAAGGAAGGGGCGAGGAGACGGAAATTTGGTTGGAGGAAGGAAGGGGCGAGGGAACGGGAAATCTTGTTGGAGGAAGGAAGGAGAGGAATCGGGAAAATCTTGGTTGGAGGAAGGAAGGGGCGAGGGAAGGGAAATCTTGGTTGGAGGAAGGAAGGGGCGAGGAGACGGGAATCTTGGAGGAGAGGAAGGGGCGAGGGAGACGGGGAAATCTGGTGGAGGGAAGGAAAGGTGGAGGGAGGAGACGGAAATCTTGGTTGGAGGAAGAAGGGGCGAGGGAGAGGGAAATCTTGGTTGGAGGAAGGAAGGGGGAGGGAGACGGGAAATCTTGGTAGGAGGGAAGGGCGAGGGAGACGGGAAATCTTGGTTGGAGGAAGGAATGGGCGGGGAGACGGGAAATCTTGGTTGGAGGAAGGAAGGGGAGGGAGACGGGAATCTTGGTAGGAGGAAGGAAGGGGGAGGGAGACGGGAAATCTTGGTTGGAGGAAGGAAGGGGCGAGGGAGACGGGAAATCTTGGTAGGAGGAAGGAAGGGGCGAGGGAGACGGGAAATCTTGGTTGGAGGAAGGAAGGGGCGAGGGAGACGGAAATCTTGGTTGGAGGAAGGAGGGCGAGGGAGAGGGAAATCTTGTTTGGAGGAAGAAGGGGCGAGGGAACGGAAATTGGTTGGAGGAAGGAAGGGCGAGGGAGACGGGAAATCTTGGTTGGAGGAAAAGGGGCGAGGAGACGGGAAATCTTGGTGGATCTGGTAGGAGAAGGAAGGGGCGAGGGAGACGGGAAATCTTGGTAGGAGGAAGGAAGGGCGAGGGAGACGGGAAATCTTGGTAGGAGGAAGGAAGGGGCGAGGGAGACGGGAAATCTTGGTTGGAGGAAGGAAGGGGCGAGGGAGACGGGAAATCTTGGTTGGAGGAAGGAAGGGGCGAGGGAGACGGGAAATCTTGGTGGAGGAAGGAAGGGGGAAGAGGGAAATCTTGTAGGAGGAAGGAAGGGGCGAGGAGACGCGAGGATCTTGGTTGGAGGAATAAGGGAAATCTTGGTTGGAGGAAGGAAGGGGCGAGGGAGACGGGAAATCTTGGTAGGAGGAAGGAAGGGGCGAGGAGACGGAAAATCTTGTAGGAAATCGGGACGGAAATCTTGGTTGGAGAAGGGGGCGAGGGAGACGGGAAATCTTGGTTGGAGGAAGGAAGGGCGAGGAGACGGGAAATCTTGGTTGGAGGAAGGAAGGGCGAGGGAGACGGGAAATCTTGGTTGGAGGAAGGAAGGGGGAGGGAGACGGGAAATCTTGGTTGGAGGAAGGAAGGGGCAAGGGAGACGGGAAATCTTGGTTGGAGGAAGGAAGGGGCGAGGGAGACGGGAAATCTTGGTAGGAGGAAGAAGGGGCTGGTAGGAGGAAGGAAGGGGCGAAGGAGACGGAAATTTGGCAGGAGGAAGGAAGGGGCGAGGGAGACGGGAAATCTTGGTTGGAGGAAGGAAGGGGCGAGGGAGATGGGAAATCTTGGTAGGAAGAAGGATATTATTGGATGTGAGAGGAGGGTAGGAAGAGAAGGAAGGGAGAAAGAGGGGGGGAAGATGGAGGAGAAAGAGAGGATAGGAAATGAGGAGAGGAGAACCGGAAATGAGGATGGAGAGGAAGGAGGACGTGAGGGTTGATGAGGAGAGACAATAGGAAAGTGAGGAGGATAAAGATGGGAAGGAGGAGGAAGAGGAAATGGGGAGAGGCAATAGGAAAGTGAGGAGGATGAAGATGAGAAGGAGGAGGAGGAGGAAATGAGGAGAGAGGAAGGGAACACGAAGTTGAAGAAGGAGGAAGACGAGAGACCACGAAAGAAGTGAGGAGAGAGAATGGGAAAATGAGGGAGAAAACGAACGAGAAAGGAGAGGGAAAATGAGAGGTTAAGAAACGCAAAAGGGG